CCCCCCCCCCCCCCCCCCCCCCCCCCCCCCCCCCGCCCCATAAAATAATAGAAGGGCTGCTTCCCCCCTTCGCATTCTACAGCGCCTCTTCGCATCCTCCGCCTTTCGTCGTGATAAAACTACAACACAAACAAACATACAAGGGTCCACTCGGTAAGGTATTTTTAGGCGGACACGTTTTCGGCGGTAATCCATTTGGCGGTAATTGTTTTGGCGGATAGCGGTAATGCCTTCTTCGGCGGTAACGACTTTGGCGGAGGCGGTAGAACCAAATCAAGGCGGAAATGTTTCGGCGGTAACGCCATATGGCGGGAATTGTTTCGGCGGACGGCGGTAACGCGTTTTTCGGCGGCAACGACTTCGGCGGAGGCGGTAAAACCAAGAAAAGGCGGAAATGTTTCGGCGGTAACGCTATACGGCGGTAGTTTTTTTGGCGGACGGCGGTAATGCGTTATTCGGCGGTAACGACTTTGGCGGAGGCGGTAAAACCAAAAAACGGCGGTAAAACGGTGGATTACCGGGACCGCCCACCACGGCGGTAATCTGACGGCGGTAATATTACCGAGCAAACCCTTGCAAATGTATCAGTGTAAAGGTTCAAATACACTCAAAATAAGCCCAGCATCCAGCCGTTCTTTTTCCAACTCACTGCCAAGGCTCAGCACACCCCCTTCGACTACAGCTGTACAATTATCTCGAACGGCCAGTATGTATTTGACTGTAAATATGTATGCATATATTTTCCAAAAACAAAAAGTGAAGGAGGACCTCCAGTGAGTCTCTCAATCTTACTTTTCCTTTCTCACCGCCCTGGCATCTTGCGCGTTCCTCAGTGCCTCACTGGTTTCCTCGAGCTTGTCCCCGGCCATGCGCCAACCACACGTGGCCGCCAGCACCTCCAAGGACACCTTGAGCATGCCCGATGCTTGCTCCTTGGCCTTTCACTGCAACGTTATTATGTGCAAATACAGCAAGCAAAATGAACACATGCGTAACAACTATAATTCATGAGAGTTCTCCGCGGCGTCGCTGCCAGGTGGGGAAAAAACAGCAGGAACACCCCAACATGAAATGAAAGTTTGTTGTTGAAGACCGAGCAAACTGTAGTTTTTTGTGCACGGAAGAATTCGGAACATCTCCCAGATCTACGTGTGTATGTGGGTTCTTGTTGTGCCGCCCTGGAGGCGCGTTGGTTCGGATGTCTTGGTTCGGTTTTCTGGGGTCCCAAAAAGAGAAAGGTCTCACGGAGTTGTCATTCTGCTGCCTCGCAGCTCCTGCGGCAAGAGTTTGATGGACGCTTGTCCATCGGACCCAAGGGCCACGTTGTGAGAAAGACACAATGTGTAACATGCAGCCCGCTTTGGAGGGCCACGCGGTAGAACAGGGCAGCAGCTACTAGCTACATCGATATTTGGACGATAGCTAGCAATAATGTCATGACTTTTCTCTCACTGGGCTGATGGACGAGGGCGGGATGATGATGAAGCATGCTTGGCTGGAGCGCACTGCCGCGTAGGGGTCTGCTGCTACTCTGGAACCCAACACCTCGTGTGGTATGTGCCTTCGTATCAAATCCCATCATGGGTTGGCAAAATCACTCATCTCATGTCAGCATTACTGCCACCGTGTCAGCTTGTGAGCGGAGCAATTCCGACGTACCGCACATGCAATTTCGGATGTATCCATACGACGTCGCCACATCTGATCACGCAACAAGCGCCTTCGCCCCGTAGACTACTCAACGATCTGCTGTGCGTGGTGCTATTTTTTCGAGGATTGTGCGGGAGCCACTTCTCGTCTGCCTCGCCAACGCGCGGTTTCTGCAATCGTAACACAGGACAAGCAGCCTTCAAATCTATCTATGTTGTACATATGAACTGTACACTCATCGAGAGGCCGAGTGCGTGTACTGTAGTCGCCCGCGGCTATGCGTAATCTACACTCAGACCGCTCCTCAACCGAACACACTAAATGTGATAGAACGCCCGCGTGGCAACGTAGGCTAGGGGAGACTGTTTCGAGACAGCGGGCACACATGTTATACGGTACATGACACAAGATAACACACCCCCTGGGCCGATTGTTCAACGAAAATCGTGTACACACATTCATGCACACCAAGACATGTCATAGCACGCTTCGAGACAGCAATCGTCTGCCCGAAAACGTACGCACAGATACTAATACCTATACATGCACAAATACTAATACGTGGATGTATGCGCTCGTTATAAAACGATGTATACATGCGCTGCGTGTACGGCGTTCTGCAACATCCTTCACATGCGAGCGCCATAAGGCGCTTAGCTTTGACTACCGTCGCACACTCAATTAGGTCAGCGTAAGCCCAAGCGCGAACAAAAACATATTATAGTCGCTCGTACGGTGCCCTGCTACCGATTGTAAGGCTGGCTTCGGCCACCGTCGCTCTCTCAGCATGTTAGTCGGATTCGGAGTGCATAATAAAATACTACTTGACATGATAAGTCGCTTGTACGGTGCCCTGTTACTGAGCGCGAGGCTGGCTTCGGTCACCGTCGCACTCGTAGTAGGTTAGTCGGATCCAAAGTGCAAATACACACAATAGTCGCTTGCACGGTGCCCTGTTACTGAGTGTGTGGCTGGCTTCGGCCACCGCCGCACTCTCAGTTGGTCAGTTGGATCCGGAGTGCAGAAAAAAAAAAAAATACTGCTTGTACGGTGCCCTGCTACTGAGCGCAACAAAAGCAGTTCGTGCAACAAAAGAAACAGGTTAAACAAAGTACAGTACACACACACGAATATTGTACCGTGTAAACATAAATGTTTTCGTAAAAAATACGCCAACGAAAAGCGCCCGACCAACCGGACTAAAATACGCCGCCGAAGGAACGCCACTTTCAATTGTAAACAACAGTTGCAAAGAAAGATGAGGCCAAGGTCACATTTCTCAAGGGACCCCAAAATTCATTTGTTAGCCATACACGAATGTCTACTTCACAACAAGATATGCGTATCAAGATGAAGTCATCACCTTTGCGATCGAATCCTGGTCGTGCACATTCTGCTTTGCATCCTGTAACTCCTTTTGATTCTTCTCGATCTGCCCTTGGATTTCTTCGAAGCTTGGCTTCTCCTCGGCCTGTCATCGATCGATCGATCGGGGGCAAAACGGTGCCATCACCATGAGCCATGAGCATGGTCAACGGGGATGTTGCTTCCACAATAAAGAAACGATGCACGCTAAAACTGTCCGGGGGGGGGTGTACTCATAGTCGTGCATGCCGTAGTCGTTATACCATTGACCTCGCATCCCTACAAAGCCCGGACGGAGCACGCCGGGTTCTCACCAGACCAGGTTCTCGCATCACCAAGCGCGAAGCGCCGTGAGGTATTCGGCGAGTCGCATGAAGGGTGCGCTGCATCCTGTTAAGGGTGTAATGTCCAAAGGGGTGGGATAAAAACAACCAAACCGTTCCTGCGTCGCCTTCTTCCTGCGTGACTCCCGCTGACACACTAGTCAACAATGTATGTACAGAAAATGTGTAACAAGCCATCTCCGGCATAAATGGGATGGCAACAACAACACCAGCAGCAACAACAATAATATCGGGGAGTACGATGAAGTCCTCGAAAAAGAGGCACTAGCGACTGGGAAATAGCAGTTTGTGAAGTGTCATACAAGTATCATGGTTTTATGGGACCCAAGGTACTTGGACCAACGTTCCAATTCGAGAGGCAGCGATCAGCCAGGTGCAAGCCTCCGGGCGCAGCGACAATCTCGCCAACGACATTCGGGGAGCAAGCCCCCAACCACCTTTGCTATACAAACGCTTCATTTTTTCTCGCTCATAGTGTCAGTGCGACCCGTGCCTGGGGGGACAAATATAAAACATACACGAAAAAAGGAAAGTGTGATCGATCCCACCTTCTCACGCAAGCTTTTCAGCTTCTCTCGCATTTTTTCGGGGTCGAGCTTCTGTTTCGCTAGCTGGCCTTGGTTCTGAATCCTCGTCTTCTCCCAGGTTTCCAGCTCACTCTTGGTGTTGCCAGCGTTCGCCACGATCTGCTCAGAAAGAACCAACAGAGGACGACAGCAGCAGCCACGAAAAAGTCGAGTTCGTTCCTAGTGGGCCCCCACGCAGTCGCATTTCATTGAAAACATAGGCATTGGCAACGTTTCGCTGTCGAAGGACTTGATCTTTGATGTCATACGTGTTCGCACCTCTTTCGGGCATATTTCAACCAACAGCAGTGGTGCCTACTCTTCCTGTGTAGCCGAGTCTGTACTTGATAACGGATTCTCGATTTCGTCGTTTCATCTCTTGCCTTTGCAGCTTGGGATAGCACGAAGGAGAAGGTTGGATATAGGCCCGTCGGCTAATCCATGCAGCAAGAACAGCGGCAACCAAAGACACCTCAAATAGCAACATTTACGCAGCACAAAAGCAACAGCAGCACCATCACACGAACGTACAAGTCGCTGAACTGGGACTATCTCATCTCACGTCCCCATCTTGTCGGAAATCGCCGCCGCCGCTTTCTCGAGACCGGCTAGCCTGTCCTTGCGGGTCTTTTCAGCGCCCCGCATCTTTTCATGATGCCGTTCCCACTTCTTCAAACCATCCTTTCGCAAAACAAAAAACAACAAAATTTCCAGAAAAATATAGGACAATTCTAGAACCGCATACAAGAGGAGATGGGACGGTGGGAGTATGAGCAACGACAACGAGGCGGCACATGCGGGCATCCGACTCCGTGTGTTGACCACGTCATGCTGTCATATGCTCGCTAATTCCCTATCTAACAGTATTGCCTTGAAACGACACGGGTTGTGCCGCACGAAAGACGGCAAAAGATGCACAGTGAGAGGAGCAAAGAAGCGAGCGTTAGATCTCGATGCGCAATCTTCTTTGTGCGAAAAAAAGGCAACCGAGGGTATTGGCTCCATCATGCACGCACCTCTGCACGCACCTCATCACACTTGAGCACGATGCAATGCAGAGGTACAGCAGAAGCGAGAACGACATTACATGCCGGCAGTTTTCCTGCTGGTTAACACACCATTGACGCCACTGATTTCAAAATGAAAGATCATCAACACGTGAAATTTCAATCGCAACCACTATCGATTGATTCATGAAGACCCCCACCAACAGGTGCAATATCCAAACCTCACCAACAGCATCACCATTGCCGTTAATATAAGTTGTATACTCCACCTTTTCAGAATCATTCGCAACAATCGTTCCTTTCGGGGAGAAAATAGCCAAGAATACCCTCACCAATGGGCGCGATATGCAAACCTCATGAACAACATCATCACTGCGGTCAACATGTACCAGTTGTTACTTTTGGAAAGCAGTATAGCTCAAACCGCCTGAAAAAATTAGCTGCCTTGGACTGTGACGACATAATCCAACACCACTAGCGACAATAACCGACGGCCCAAGTCGTCGTCAACACCTGCAAAGGTTTGTCGGCCTCCTCAGCCACCTCAAGCACTTTGACGGCCTCTTCCTCGAGCAACTGAGTCGCCTGTCTTTGCCTTCTCAGCTTCGTCACGTTCTCCCAGATCTTCCGCTTTTTGTGCAGCTCAACCTTGGGCAGACGACATAAAATAGGATGCAAAGTAACAACAGCAACAATACCATCAAGAACAGCAGCAGCAGCAGCAGCAGCAGCAACAACAACAACAACAAGCGCTTATTGCATGGCTACATCCGCCGAGGCGAAGCCAGCAATGACCGCCTCCGCCCTGCGGACTCCAAAAACATGAACACGACAAAGGAGCCTGAGAGTCGACGAGCAAACATCTGCGTCAAGTCCTGCGGCTTCCCTTGGCGCGCTTCGAAGGACAACAAAACAACATCATACGTTCAATATTCGTGAACGATCCACCATTCATTGTCGTGTCTTGCTTTTCCGAACTCCCACCGTTACTCCGACAAAAAAGAAAATTTTATCAAAGGAGCAAACACTAAGAGGAATGTATCTCACCCTCTCCTGCTTCTCTTGCCGCTCTTGGTAGCGTTGCACGTCCTTCTCGAGAGTGGACAACTCCGATTCCATGCCTTCCAGCTTGGTCCTCATCGTCTCCTCCTCGTTCTGAGTCTCGCCTTTCTGCGAACACACAAAAAAGGAATTGGGATGTAAAAGAAGACCACCAACAAAAACAGACAGACGGGAAACAATCGAAATGACGAGAGTTTTGGACGCTGGATGGGCAAAATCTGACGCCCATGTTGTGAGGCTTACCTTGATGGCAGCACAGATTCGCCAACCACAAAAAGACGGACTTGTTTCTATGTATGGATAAAAAACAAGCGTACAAGGAAAAGGTAATGATGAGGTGAGAAATGATGATATCGCCTCCGTGCGAGGTCTTCTCTCTCTCTGCAGGCATCGACAATGAACCAACAGATAAAAATAACACGTAGAAGGAAACCCGTCTGTACAGCCACATTCTTGATGTGCGTATGTATGAATGTCAGAAACACTTTTCCGAATTTTGCTCACGGAAAGGCGTGGGTCCATTTTGACAACGTGTAAGAGGACAAACGCTACAAGAAAACAGCCATGGACGCGGGGCTGCTTGAGGTCGGCATGCAAAAACAAGGTACAATTTCGAATTTAAACCCTTGCCGAGAAAAAAAAATAGCGTAAATACCGCACAGGAGAGGTGTGGCAATAATAACAGAAAAAAACAAGTTTGTGCGAACTTCCTCCTGTGTGCCGCCGGCTGATACGTCAAACGTCAACTCCGAGAGATGTGTATACTGGTGTCAGAACAAACGGAGGACGAACACACGCAGATCCACCAGTAGGCGACAGAGCCATTCTTCTTACCGATGAAACCTAGTGGACAAAGACAAAGACATCGACAAAGACAGACAAATACAGAGGAACGAGACCTACTCACCGAGTCTTGCAGGTCGATGAGCTTCATGTGCGGGTCGTACAGCTCGGTAATGGACAAGGCCTTCTCTGTCTCCAGCAGCAGCTTGTCTGGCGTAAAGCCCGAGAAGTCGCCGACCTTGTCCTGTAAAAAGTTGGCAACACAACCAAGGAAAAGTTGTTCGGAATGAAGAATGTGGCACGACGTCGACGTCGCACCTAAACAATAACGCATCGTCTACTTGACAAATGAGTTCGCAATCGGCTTGAAACGAGTTATAAATCTACTGATAGTAATAAGGTACATGCATACGGATATGGAGCACATCTCGCTGACTATGTCCTCCATTCTACTCTCTTTATGTGTGTGTTGTGAGGGTCTCGGTCCGCCTGGATCTCTCTCACCCGAGAAATTAGAGTCGTCTCGTTTTGGTCTTACGGGTCCGGAGTGTGACGTGGACGATATGGGTATGATGAATGATGGACACGACGAGCGAGGTTTTCCCTGCTTCCCTCATGTCTCTCATTCTCTACGCAATACTTGAGTCAACCTTCCTTCTCTTTTGAGCTGCTGCACCCTGGTGTTGGCAGCGGGGTATTGGCCTCTGAGCTGTGTGAGTCGGGCCAAAGAGGCGCGATTACGCCATTCTTGCGGAATTTTCACTCAAACTGGGACGGTAGCCATCGGGGGCGGGGACAACACGGTGTGAAGCTGGGCGCTTACACTTCAAGGGGATGGGCTGCAGGTAGAGAGTTACCCTGCGTCATTTACGTAGGAGGATGCTTCGCACGTGGAGATGCAAAAGGGGCTGCGAACTGCAGAAAGAGGCTGCCAAGTCTGCGGTTGAGGGGCTTCGGCGGCAAGGTCATCAGTTGACGTGCAAGGAGGCGCCAGTCCAGTTGCTCCTGGTGGTACTCCAGCTGCGCCACCGGTGGAGACCATGTGGCCGCGAGGGGGTGAATCACGGCAGTATTGGGGGGGCCCCGGGAATGTCGTTTGGTCCGGTCGGTCAAACCCCTGTGCCGACAGTCCTTACCAAATGTACTCCTTACGCTTCGACGCATACCGCATGTGCCTGTACAATCACAACCTGTGGCAACACCATCGCTGGCACTGCTACTGAGTTTTCTACGACCAGTTGCCAGGAAGCTGCGTAACTGCCTCGCCAATACGGCGCGGACCTTGTTGCTGGCCACAATAAGACACGTGGGAACGGCGGCGGGAGCCAAATTTTGACCCACATTCACTGCGTGGTGGTGGACGCATGGACGACGATGGATGATTGGGCGTTGTCCACTGACCCTGTCGAGCGTCAGTTGCTCGTTGCAATGTCGGAGAACGTCACAGACGAAGGGCGTCGAGGACCCCGAGCTGTGCATCGCACGGGCTCCCCAAACCGAGATGACGCAGCGCGCTGTCCGCATCGTGAAGAGCGAGAGCAGGACACATTCAGATCCTTTTAGGAGCCGGGTCGGAAGGGTATCCCGAGGCATGAGATTAAGACGGCGGCGGGGGAACGTACGACGACTACGGTGATGACTTCCGGCAGCGGAGACGTTCACACGTACTCGCCGTCGCCGCAGCGACCATCTGCCGCCCCTTCGGCTGTCGGCAAGGGCGCGGAGTCCTCCTCCTTCCGCTCTTCTTCTGGCGGCGGCAACAGCAGCAGAAACGCTCATGACTCGGTCGGTGGGAAATCAGCAGCAGCGAGTCCTGTCGATACGAGCCATGTTTTGGACCTGTTGATGTCGTCCCCGCCGCCGCCAACATCCCGGTTTTCCAAGGAGGCGTTGCCCCCCGAAAAGCCCGACTGCCGCTTCCGCGAATCGCAAAGGCCAGGCTTCCGAGAGGTTCATTGTCAGTAGCGAATACGACGACGGAGACGACTTTGTGGACTGCCTAGTGGTGGAAGGAGCGGGCAGCGCTATCCCTGCCGGTAGGAACGGGGATCCTCACGACCGGCGGAGGTCAGGCACGGGGCCGAAGAAGCCGCCGTCGATCTGCGGCAGCGGTAGCGGCGGGGGCCGCTTCGGTCTCTCCAGAACGGCGGTAGCCTCGCGGGAGGAGCGGCGGCACGCCAACCGTCAAACGCTTTTGGTCGGGGGCTATGCAGGAGCAGCGAGGGTGACGAACAACGATGATTCCTCGATGGCTGTTTCAACCAAACGCAGGCACATTAGCTCTTCGTTCGGGGGTCCCGCGGCAGGAAGGCGACGACGGGGGGTACGGAGACTTGGTGGTCGGCGTCGCCGGCGAGTGGCGGCGGGCAGCAGACGGGAAGGCCTGGAAGATGGAGGCCTCGGGCGGCGGCGGCGGCGGCGGCGGCGGCAACGAGGGCGGAGTAAGCGAGGAGCGACGACGACGAGCTGACCTCCAGGAAAATAAGGAGGCGTTTTCGGTGCCGCCGGAGCTGTAAAACCGGATGTACGCCCACCAGAGGATCGGGGTGCGGTGGCTGTGGAGCAAGTTTGCCCAGGAAAGTTTTCTTTTTTCAGACGATGACTGGCGTGATATCTTACGTGCTCCAACGGGCCCCCGGTTTTAGCAGACCTACGACCCATAAGGCTGCAGGAGCAGCGCGGTACAAGTTAAGGCTTTCCTGAAATTCCTTTACCGGTCGTTCATGTCTACCCATTTTTTTCTAGCCCGCCCCCCCGATCGAAACATGCAGTTACAACGCCACCGACTGTCTGCGTTTTTCGTGCCGTCAAACGCCAGGGGGGGGCATGGGCGGCATCCTCGGCGACGACACGGGTCTGGCGAAAACGTTCCAGGTGGGCGTTTCTCTGCGCCGTCTTGCTCGGAGCACACCAACACGTTGTCAATGATAGTCTTGCTGCGCGCCTGTGCCGGCCCGCGGCGCGTATACCGTGAGTGACACAACATACCAAACCTCCTGGACCGATTTCCAAAGCTCGGTTTCTCCACGACGGTGAAGAGGGTGCCGATATCAAACGATTTGTTTTCGGGAAGTTCTCGACGAGACGGTCCCACGGTCCCAACGTGGCCATTTTCGGCACCACCTCTCTTTCTGCTGTGGATAAGTCGACCTTTGAAAATCGGTCGAGGGGTGTGATATCTTACGTCTGTCACCTACGGAATAGCGGTGTATCGCTGCTCGGCTTACGGATACATTGTGTTCTCTGTACGATGGCTTTGTTTGGAACTCTCGTATGGAGAAGATGATCGGAAAGCGGGTATGATTATGCCACTCGATCATAGTGGTGGGCTTGCCGCTTCTGGCGTGTTCGATGGTCCGGTGTTGCGACTTGCAGCAGAGGTTCTGTTTCTGGGGCTAGCTTGCCTGTCCAACGAACATTCCCCACCGTTTTATCGAAAAATTCATGCCGAGGACCCCTTCCCCCCTCTCCTTCTCTTAAGCCTGCGCGCGGCCACAACGCAGGTGACCTGTTTCTTGGGTGGACGTTTCGTCGCCAGGCAGGCCAGGAGCGCCCTCAACGTCGCCCCTACGAGCGTCATGCGTGGGTGGAAATACGAGCTAAATAACGCGTAGGTTCGTCAAGGCCGCCTGCCCAAAGGTTGAGGTGAGGTTCACAGGAACAGAGTCTCTACGGTCCCTAGACTAGCGCGAAGTCGACAAGAATGGTACTCATGTGTGTAGGACGCAAAGAGCGTCACCCTTCCTCGACGGAAGTGGGGTACGCGGCGATCTCTGGTGGGATGAAGGGGGCCATTCTTCGTGCGGTATGTTATCGATCCCGTCACTCGACGTCGTGTCATGCACGCATCACTTGCCTGCGGCAGCATGGTGCAGAGGTTGTTGACCTGAATGCCAAGGGCTCTATATCTTGCTATCCACTTCCTTGCCCGAATAGGACCTGCATATGTATAGCATCACCGTTCAAGCACATTATACATCCGCATAGACGAAAATGATGCCAGTAGGGGCGGAGGCACAGCACGGAAGATGGGCGGCCAGCTTCTCGGCACCAAAAAGCAATAACATCAAACGACCACTCACGGGCACGAACGAATGGCGTTGCTGTGACTAATTCTTGACGGAAGACAAACAAAAGCATCCCAGCTGTATCCCAGCTATGTACCGATAGGCAGGGTGGGGCGTTAGTTGTTGGCTAATCAGGTGAGTTGCAGACAATCTGAGCACCGTGGCCACATCAAAGTGCTCCGGACCTAGCACCTTGGCTGTGATAGCCTGAGACCGCTCATACAGTAGCTCGGCCGCAGCGTACTTCCCCTGGCATGCAGTACGGACTGAAAGCCAGGGCAAGCACGTTGAGGCCGAGCCACTGTACGAGCGGTCACAGGCCATACCAGAGAAGGTGCTTGGTCCACAGCATCCTGACTTGCGACGGTGCTCAAGCTACGGCCGTTGTTGCTGGCTAATCACGTGGGTTGCAGACAATTTGAGCACCGTGTTAACATCACGGTGCTGCGGACCTACCACCTTGTCTGTTATGGCCTATGACCGCTCGAACAGCTGCTCGGCCTCAATGTACTTGCCCCGGCTTTCAGTCCGTACTGCATGCCAGGGCAAGTACGCTAAGGCTGAGCCACTGTATGAGCGGTCACAAACCATACCAGAGAAGATGCTAGGTGCGGAGCATCCTGACGTGGCCACGGTGCTCAAAAACGAGCGTTAATTATTGGCAAATCAGGTGAGTTCCAGACAAATGTAGCACCGTGGTCACACCACGGTGCTCCGGATCTAGCACATTGTCTGTTGTGGCCTAAGACCGCTCGAACTGCTGCTCGGTCTCAATGTACTTGCCCTGCATTTAGTCCCTCAAGAAACGGGCGATAATTGTTGGCAGATCAGGTGAGTTGCAGACAGTTTGAGCACCACACCACGGTGCTGTGGATCTAGCACGTTGGTATGGCCAGAGACCGCTCGAACAGCTGCTCGGCCTCAATGTACTTGCCCTGGCATGCAGTCCGTCCTGCATGCTAGTGCAAGGACGCTGAGGCCGAGCCACTCCACGAGCGGTCACAGGCCATAACAGAGAAGGTGCTAGGTCCGGAGCATCCTGATGTGGCAACGTTGCATAAGATACGGGCGTAAATGGTTGGCTAATCAGGTGAGTTGCAGACAATTTGAGCACCGTGGCCACATCACGGTGCTCCGGATCTAGCACCTTTTCTGGTTTGGCCTGTGACGGCTCGAATAGCTGATCTACCGCATTGTGCTTGCCCTGGCATGCAGTCCGTCCTGCATGCTAGTGCAAGGACGCTGAGGCCGAGCCACTCCACGAGCGGTCACAGGCCATAACAGAGAAGGTGCTAGGTCCGGAGCATCCTGATGTGGCAACGTTGCATAAGATACGGGCGTAAATGGTTGGCTAATCAGGTGAGTTGCAGACAATTTGAGCACCGTGGCCACATCACGGTGCTCCGGATCTAGCACCTTTTCTGGTTTGGCCTGTGACGGCTCGAATAGCTGATCTNGCAGACAGTTTGAACACCGTGGCCACATCACGCACGGTGCTGCGGACCTACCACCTCGGCCTCAAAGTGCTTGCCCTGGCATGCAGTTCGTCCTGCATGCCAGGGCAAGGACGCCGAGACCGAACCACTCTACGAGCGGTAATAGGCCATACCAGGCAAGGTGCTAGGTCCGGAGCATCCTGGCGTGGCCACGGTGCTCGAGAAGCGGGCGTTGATAGTTGGTCGATCAGGTGAGTCGCAGACAGTTTGAACACCGTGGCCACATCACGCACGGTGCTGCGGACCTACCACCTCGGCCTCAAAGTGCTTGCCCTGGCATGCAGTTCGTCCTGCATGCCAGGGCAAGGACGCCGAGACCGAACCACTCTACGAGCGGTAATAGGCCATACCAGGCAAGGTGCTAGGTCCGGAGCATCCTGGCGTGGCCACGGTGCTCGAGAAGCGGGCGTTGATAGTTGGTCGATCAGGTGAGTCGCAGACAGTTTGAACACCGTGGCCACATCACGCACGGTGCTGCGGACCTAGAACGTTAACTGTGATGGCCTGTGACCGCTCGAACAGCTGCTCGGCCTACATGTATCTTCCCTGGCCTGCAGTCCATCCTGCATGCCAGTGCAAGGACGCTGAGGCCGAGCCAGTCTACAAGCGGTCACAGGCCATACCCGATAAGGTGCTTGGTCCAGAGCAAACTGACTTGCGACGGTGCTCAAGAATCGGGCGTTTTGCTGGCTAATCAGGTGAGTTGCAGACAATTTGAGCACCGCGGCCACATCACGGTGTAAAGATCTAGCACCTTTTGTGGTACGGCCGGTGACCGCTCGAACAGCTGCGCGGCCTCAATGTGCTTGGCCTGGCATGCGAACCGTCCTGCATGCCAGGGCAAGGACGCTGAGGCCGAGCCACTCTACGAGCGGTCACAGGC